TCCTAGTAGGCCCACATCTTGACCTGGGAAGTGCAGCAGATTGGCCAATACTGTGTTCTGCTGGTCTCTGTCTGTCCTGCCTCCTGCAAGCCGGCTGCTGCACTGCACTGCACAAGCCACAGACTGCCTCTGAGGCTCTCTTTTCTGTCCTAATGGACCTCCCAGTTGGTGGGGGGGGGGTTCCCAGGGTGAGGGAACTTTTCCCCTTTCATAGGTCCCTCCCAGGGGTGCAGGTCTTGTCCTGATTCCTTTTTTTTTTCTTTTGTCCTACCCGGTTACATGGCGATCAATCTTGCAGCTTTGGTTGTATGAGATCTTCTGCCAGCATTCATTGGCTATTCTGTGAGAATTGTTCCACACATAGATGTATTTTTGATGTACTTGTCAGGGAAGGTGCTCCACATCCTTCTATTCTTCCATCTTGATCTCCGCCCCCTTATTGTGTTTTATATAGAAGTATAAAGTGAATGGTGAAAATGCTCCATCCTCCCCAAAGTCTACAAGATCTCCAGTCCCCACCTCCTTTTTTATATTGATAGGCACTACTCTACTCCTGATTTATGAGACACAGAGATTTATATCCTTCTGGAAACTTTAGAAGGAGGAAAGTTAACTTGCTCTCATGATCTCATTGTATTACCAGGTTTGAGATGCTTGACGCTGCAAAGAACAAGATCCGGGTGAAGATCAGCTATGTGATGATTGCTTTGACAGTGGCAGGATGCATCTTGATGATTATTGAGGGCAAGAAGGTGAGAGTGGACATCCTCTCTATCTCTATGTATTTTCCACAGAAGACCTAGTGGAAGTCAGGGGTTGACCCTTGTATTTATTCTCTGTGAAGAGGAGGCTACTTCCCACATGAGAAATGATAAGAAACAAAACAATACATTAGGATCAAACCTGGGGTATCATGCCTGAAGATAAATAGCAAATCCTAACTTTGGCAAGGTGGAAGGACTAAATTAGTTTGTGTAAAGTAAAAAAATATGTTTAGTTAACACAGATGTCATAAGTAATGTGAGACAGGAAATAAGACCCTGGCATATTTAAGGACGACTCCTTGCATGTCTCTAAAGCACTCTCAGTACCTGGGCTTATTTATCCTCACTCTGCCTTAGTCCTGGTGAGCTTTCTTTACTTGACATGCAGCCAAACTGGGCCAATAGTATCCAAGTTCCTAAGCAGTACCTGGGAATTCAAGTCCAGGAATCAGATCATTATTAATAGCTATCACTAAGTGAACACTCACTGTTCCAGTATCTTGGTGTTATCTTATTTGAACCTCATAACAACACTGCAAGATAGGTGCTATTATTAGGACCTCATTTAGATGAGGAAACATAGTTTAGAAAGCTCTAGTAAAACTTACCCAAGGTCACACATCTCCCTAATGGCAGAGCCATAGGTTGCACCCTGACCTGTCTAATTGAGGTGGTAGTGAAAGTGCTCCCACTTACTGAGTGCTCATTCTATAGCAGATATTGTTAAACTCATTTATCACCACACTAATCCCAGGAACCTAAGAGGTATGTTCCCTTATTAGCCCTGTTTTATAAAGAAGAACCTGAAGCTTAGAGATGTTAAATAATTTCCCCAAAGTTTCACACCTAATAAGTGGCAAGACAAAAGTTTACAGTCAAGTTTGCCAGTTACCAAACTGCATACTGTACTATTTTGTGATTAAAGTAGTTATTTTCATATGCAGCAGTACTGATCAAACCCTTATTTTAATTCCATGTCTAATTCTATATATCACAGCTTCCATGTGGAGACAAATGTCTTATACCTATTAATCAGATGTTAAAAGGGTTCTTCCACAGGCCCAGTGGTAACTGACTTCTTTATCCCCAGTGAGTCCAGAGTAAAAGAAATGACCCTCTGGCCCTCTTTGGGAGTCTTGGCATGGGAAGTACTGACCATTTAGGCTGACGTGATGGGAGCACAAAGGGCAAGTGTGGAGGCCTGGGTGAAGTTCCCTTGACAGCTCTGTTCCTGCCCCACGTCAGTATTTCTTCCGTCTCCCTCTTTGACCTCTCATGCTTAGTTCTCAGACTGAAACCTGCAGAAGCATGTGGATAGGACATGGAGGTTTCTAGAATTCTGAGAAATCTACATTGCTTTTGTCTACTTAATTATAGTAGCTGAGTGTAAATACTCCAGAAAGAAATCACTCCCTGAGATCTCCTCTAGCCTCATCCAAGGGTTTACGCTGTATAATTTAGAATTCCTCTCCTCTTCTGAACCATAAAATTGTGTCACTTCTCTTCTGTGGAACAATCCATTACTAAAAAGTTGGTCAACTCTACTGGAATGAAGAACTTTTGAACTTCATGTGATTTAGAAGTGAGCCATTGTATGTTTTGTCCTCTCCACCAGTTTACCTTTCTCATTCTCCTCCCCTCTCCGTACCAGATTCTTTACATGTGAAATCACACAGATAGAAGAAAATACCACCTTGTAGGGTGGTATTCACTTCTCTGGTAAAAATATTTGAAACTGGTTTGTTTACATAAGCGTCACAGAAGTGTAACAAGTCATGGGGAAACAAGGGAAGAGGTTGTTTGCCTCCCTCCCTGCTGTTTGCTCTCAGAGGACGGAGTAGCAGGGCAGACACTGCTGGAGTCATTGGTGGTGGTATTTGGTCAAGTCTGGGATCCTCCAAGCTTGAATGTTCATGGTAAAAGAGGAGTAAGGAACTAGAGGGGTGTGAAAGTATACAAATGAGTTGGGGGAGGAGAAATGGTAGCAACAAAGAAAAGTGAGAGGAGAAAAAAAGGGACAGAAATGGAAATGAGAAGATATTTAATACTAAAGAGAGGAAAAGAGAAAGACAAAGGAATTAATTATAAAGGGAGAAAAGAGGCTAGAAGATTTAAAGAAAGAAGCCAGGAGGGAGGAGGTGGAGGTGTGCCATTCCTCTCTTGTGCCGGGCGGATGGGCTACTGCACTAGGAAGAGTCCCCACGGAGGGGAGCGCTGTGCCCAGCGCGCACACAGCAGGCCCTCCATGCCTGTACTGCCCGCGACAGCCTGGCGGCTTCGGTGCAAGGTAATGACATCCTCCCCAAACCGGCATCAATAATCACTTGTTCAAATTTGTTTCACTGTAGGCTGCCAAAAGAAACGAGTCTTTAGCAAGCATGAACTTAGAAAAGAAAGCTCGTCTGAGAGAGGAAGCTGCTGTGAAGGCCAAAACAGAGTAGCAGACATACCCATGTTGGCTGATTTTGAAAATCCAGAAAGTGTTGCAGCAACAAGCCTCTATAACCAAGAATGTGGTATGAGTTTCCCTATGTCTGCTGTGGAGCTACAAATAAATTTTCTTAAAGAAATGACTTGTCTATATTTTATAGGTTTGATCCAGATCAAATGCAGCCTCTCAGCTTTTTGGAGAAAATGAAAGAATGAAAAATGAGACAACTTATTTGAACTTTAATTCTTCTTTAGTGAGTCAGGTACCATATCTTTCTTTAACTCCTGTTACTTAAGTCTCATCTCCCCAGAAGCCAAAAAGGCTTCTACTTCTGCATTTCTCTCTCCTGGGTCCTCATTTCTAGAGATACAGACCACCAGCTAAGTACACCGCCCAGGGCACGTTGGAGCACTAACGTCCCCAGATGCCATAGTGCTTCTCAAGAGCTCTGAGAAGCAGCCAGACCATGTTCTGCCATCGTCTGGTGTGTGCTGGCAAAGGCTTAAAACAGTCACTGGAAAAGTCCTGGCAGGATGATGATGGATGTCTGGCCTCAAGTTCTGAGGACTTTGAAATCTTAGCACCGTGGAGTAGCTTGGTGCCAGCACAGCCACCTCTCCCACTTCATGGCTTAGAATTCCCAGCTGGTCCTTTTCCTTCTACCTTTATACTAAACTTCTCTATGATAGAAATCTATCAAATGTGTTTTGTTATTAAATTAGTGTTTAAATTAGTGTTGAGGATAAGCATTTGCACCTGGTATGTATCCTATTTACACTTCGACAGGGACGCCACGGTGTCATGTATGTAGGTACGGATGCTGGGTTCTATTTATATATTTCATTTATTCTCACATACTTCATGAGGATCAATGGATGGCAAGTCCTCATAGTCATCCCAATTGCTGGTTCTCCCCCAAGGGTCAGAACAGATTAAAAAGCAATATATGCAGCTGTTTGGGAATTTGGTTTAATAAAATGCTCAGTGAGAGGTAGTGCACCTCTCCACCTACAGCATCATAGTCTACCTGAAGATGTTAATTATGTCTGTCCTATACTTTAGAGGGCTTTGACCGTAGCCTCTTTTTAGATATCAAGCTCTTTGATTTTTATCACTTGCAGATTTATCATCAAAAAAAGCATTGTTTCATATATATATTAGCAGATTAGTTTTTCTTGATTATTTTGGAACACTTATGTTACATCTTATCTAAACCAGTGTTTTAGATAGGAGTTAATCTCAGTGAACTGTTGAAAGTAAGTAATCTTTCTTCATAAAATACCGTTTTTAACTTCTAAAAAAGCATTTTTAAGTGTTTTATCTTGGAGATTTACATGTTTGATTAAGTCAAAGCTCACAAATGCTACCATGTGGCAAGAATTTAAACAGTATTTTCTCATTTGTGTCAAGTCTTCTATTCAGTAAATTATGCTTTTGAGGGGGTTAAATATAAATTTCTTGACCAGAATTTCATAACTGCCCCTATATAATCCCAGTTCTCCCAGCACCCTCACATATTAACTTCTTAGCAGTCATATCTTACTAGTAACCCTAACATCTTATATTCATTAGAACTTGTCAAGCAAATCAGATTTCATGAGCACTACAAGGTACTATAGATACAAAAGAAGACAGTTTTGCCCTTGTTGCTTTCATTTAAATGATTGTTGTACTATTTTTTTACTTAATTCCTGGATTATGTTTTCACATTTATCATGTCTCTATAGGTAAAGTGGGCAGAAACATTTTCCACTTTATATTTCTTATAAGCCCTGTTTGAATAAAGTTAATATGTGAGGCAATGGTTAGATACTTTTCATTTTAACCAACAAAAATAATCATATGGGGAATTGATTCCAAAAATTTATTGAAAGCAGGCAAAGAGTGGAAGTTGGGATGGTGGTTTAATTAATTGTCAATCAAACATGATTTTAGTCCCTTCTATATACAAATCAGAATACAAAGATGAATAAAACATACTTGACTCCACAGAGCTCATAATTTGCTGAAACCATTACAGTACAAACTGGTAAATTACATGTTTTGAACTTTATAACAGAAGCTATAGAAAGAAGCAAGAAAAGCTTATTCAGCTGTCAGCTCTGGTTAGAGTCAGGCAGGCAGTATGACTCCACAAAGTGGTGCTTTCTGAACTGGGTCTGAAGAGTGGGTCAGACATAATGAAAGAACACAGCCTCACCATTCAGACATTGAGCTTGACCCGAGAATCAGAAGAGGGCAGTCTGACAAGGTTGTGAGAGTCCTTTCAGTAAAATGCCATTTTTAATTTTGTTCTGGTTTATTTTTACTTTTTATGTTGATGAAAACTTAAGATTTTTAGACGCCAGAACAAACACAACCATGACTTATTTTTCCCATCGCAGGCTTGATTCCAGATCCAATCTCACGTCCTATCACGTAGGCTGTCACTTAAATCTCCAATCACCACCATCCCAGACTTACTCTCTTACTCATCTGATCTCCCAAACCAAAAACCTTAGTTATTCCAGACTCCCTTGCTCCCCTCATTTTATCACTCACCCTGTCTTGTGAGCCTTACTTCTAAATATTTATCATATACACTGATCCTCTAGAATAGTCATTGAGAGAATAGAATGGGAATCTGTTCAATGACAGCCACAAGAAAGTAGTAACAGATTTCAAGATTAAAAGTCAGTAGCCCTGGGATCTAGACTTGCTTTTCCAATGTCTTGCCTTGTAAACTCAGGTTACAGGTTTTAAAATCTTATAATTCAAGACAATGTTAAAAAGAAATGCAAAACCATGACAAAATTGAGAGAGATCATCTTTTTAAAATACCTAACCTTAAAAAAAATTTTTTTTTGCCAGTTTGGTTCTACTACTTGATTTCTCAAGGGTTTAGTAGTTACTCATCCACAGTTTAACTGTTTTGTCATTTCCTAATGCTGCTGATGCAATGATGTTTTCTGTAGGATGGCAAGCTGCTGAGATTACGACATCTGTATGACCTTGTAATTTTTGTACAATCTCTTTAGTCTGAAGGTTCCAAATGTAAACCAGGTTATCCTCTGAACCAGACACAATCCACTTTCCACCAGTAACTGAAAAATTGGCAAATATGCAGTATTTCTCATTCTTATGACCAGTGTATGTCTTCAGGCATCTGCCTCTGCTATAATCCCATAGTTTAAGAGTATTGTCCAAAGTTGCAATAAGAATGTATTTACCATTGGGAGAAAATTTTACAAAAGAAACAGGAGGGTTATCATCATCAACAAGTGTTTTTAAACACTGACCTGATGCAGCATCCCAGATTCGACAGACACCATCATAACTACCTGACACTATCAAGGACCCACTACAATTAAAATGAACAGCAGAAACTGGGTCAGAATGAGCAGACAAAGTTTTAAGGCACTTTCCTGTTTTCACCTCCCATATTTTCACGCTCTCATCAAAAGATCCTGAAATGATGAGGTTGGATGGTGGGTTGAAATTACAGCAAAAAACATAATTACTGTGTCCTTTCAATGTTTTCAAACATTTTCCAGATCTCACATCCCAGATTTTTAGAGTTTTATCATCTGAGGCAGAAACAAGACGACTGGAATCTGATGACCAGGCAACATCTGATATTTCCAGAGTGTGACCTTTAAGAGTTTTCTCATATTTTCCATCGTAGGCTCCCCAAATTATAATAACTTTATCAGCAGAAGAACTTGCTAGCCATTCTCCACTAGGACTAAATTTAACTGACGACACTGCTTCAGTATGTCCCACGAGAGTAAATTTGAGAGCATAGTTAGGTTTTTCAGGTATTTGCTTGCTCTGATTGGCTAATGAGGGGAGTGCCGACTCTGCTTTGTCATCTCCTGACTCCTCTGTAGCCATGGCTCTGAAGCTCCAAGTCAGTACGTTGGTTAGGCGTCAGGCCCTGAACCAGGCAGCCAGTATTTTGGCATTCTGCCCAGCAACATTAAGATAAAAAACATCGGACTCAAAAATAAACGGCCTTTTAATAATTACACTTTTTGGATCGTCTTTAAACTACGATATACACTGATACAGCAGCACGGCTTGGACCACTTCAGTTTTTCCTCACTTTCTCCTTTGCAAACAAGTAACTTGAGAAACTATTTACAGGGTCCTGTGCTCAGTCCGCAAGTAAGGTATTCATGTTGGGTATTCCGCGAATGTATAAGACAGTCCAAAGCTGCGCGCATTGCAGTGAGGCGGCGGGGAGTCGCTACAGAAAGTACTTTTCACCGCCCCGCCCCTCAGCTCGGAACTGTTGGAGAGCACTGAACAACTCTGCCCGTCAGACTTTAGGTACTTGAGCATGAAAGGATTACCGCTTTAAACAGAAGATTTCAGAAGCTAAGCGAAAACTTGCGTAGGCACTGCTGCTCGAGGCCGGGGCCTGCCGGCGACACCGCGGCGTAGCAAGCGACTCTGGAGGCAGGACAGCCGGGCGCATGTGCAGGCGGAGCCCCCGCCCACCACCACCACTACTTCCGAGCCGAGGTGACCGACGGGAGAGACTTGCTTGCGCAGAGGGCATCTGCGTGTTCTTCCGGCTCCGTCCGCCGTCGCCGTCCCTGTGCGTTCCGTGGGCTGCTTGCTTGGCCGAGTGAGAAGGTGAGCAGGGTTTCTCCCAGACCTGACTGGCTACTGTGGGAAGCAGTGAATGTTTCCAAGAACGTGCATTTCTTTTTGGAGACCGTGTGACGAGAAAGGACTGAATTATGCGGTGTTCGCGGCCGCAGGGTTAAGCCCGCATTTGAAAGTAAGCCTTTCGGACTGCGCATTTGGGGGATGTAGGGACCGTGGGTCCACCCATCTGCGGGTGATTCTTTGTGAGCTCCTGCTTCACAGGTGGCTTTCGTTCTGTTCCCTTCCACTTGTGGTCGAGAGCCTGGGTACGAAAGGGCTGCAAGTAGGCAAGGGGAACGTAGCCAGATTTATGCCCAGATTTTAAGACTCCTGGTTCAGAAGTATTCCCTAAACGTTTCGGGAAGGATAAAGAATATGTGTTAGGCGCGTTTGAAGGCCAGTGCTCAGGTAGCCTCACATGGTAGTGCCGAGGGGAAATAAGCAGACGTTTGTTTTAGCACTTCCTTGTAGTTTAAACGTTCAAAGAAAAGGGGAGTTCAGATCTGCATAGGTGTCAGAAAAGGTCGAATGGGGTTGGAAATGTGTGAGGTTACTCGTAATTAGGCTTTCGTACGCTCTCCCTAGCTTTGAGAAATGATTAATGGCTGTGAAAGTATGTAGAGGATACATGCTTTTCAGGTGTAAATTACTCTTTTAAACAAGAATAGGTTTACCAGAAATGGAAGCCTGACTCGTTTCTCCAATCCTGTACAGTCTGCCCCTTGGTATATGCAGGGGATTGGTTCCAGGACACCCCGCCCCCATACCAAAATATCCTGGATGCTCAAGTCCTTTGTATAAAACAGTGTATTATTTTTCATATAACCTACTTATATCTTATCCTATAACTTTAAGTCATCTGTACATTACTTACAATACCTAATACAGTATAAATGCTACGTAAAGAGTTGCGGGGGTGAAACAAATTCAAGTTTTGCTTTTTGAAACTTTCTGAAATTTTGAGGGGAATATTTTTGATCTGTAATTGGTTGAATTCGAGGATGTGTAACCCACAGGTACAGAGGGTTGACTGTAATTGCTCAATAAAGAGTGCCCAAGAGAGGCTGTGAGTATTCTGCTTGAAAGGTTTTCTTGGTAGCCAGTTGAAGTCGAGGCTAATAGCTCTTTTGGTATTTTCTGTCAAGAATTAAAGCATTTGGAAACAAAGGGTCTCTTATCATATACTTATTGGGAATAATTGAAAGCCTTGCTTTTGTAAGGCATAACAACATAAGTAGTTCACCATATGATAAACTAGCAAAAACCTAATTAAGACCCTACTACTCTAGTTTGGAATTTCGACAGGAATTTGACAAATGCTTTCTCTTAGCTAGTGCAAATAAATGATATAAACACAATGAGGAGGTGCTGAGAGTGGGAAGAGCATCTTTAAAATGGTTTGGAGCATCCATTTATATACATTAAATTATGACTCTTAGCTGCTTATTGAGGCAAAGCCACCATTGACCTCTCCTCTGTAACATTTTAAAAAGAGAAAACTTTTATCTCTGTTTAACTTAATACTCAATTCTGATTAAACTCCACCTCCTCCCTCTCCTTTCCTCCTCCCATTAGCCTGGGTTAGTGTGATTTTTACTGGGAAGCTTAGGAGCCTACTAAATTCTGCATCAGTTGAAACAATGTTCATTTTTATTAACTTATTAAAAAATAAATTAAAAGCACTTCACAGAACAAGCAAAGGCTTTGTTTCAAAGAATATAAGTAAATCTGAATTTTTCAATAATTTGATGCACTAGGAGAGGAAAGAAAGGAAGCTAGACCAAGTAAACACATGGCATGAGGGTTGGGACAGGGTGTTGGTGCTGGAGTATATTTAGCCCACTGGAAATATCACAAGCATGGGCGAGGGCACACAATTAAGAGTGTGTTGACAGGAATATACAGAAATGGTTTTTGTCAGATTTTCCTAGAATTTGAATGGAGAAATTTCCGGTATTAAAATTCATTTCTCCGTGTCTGGAATGTTTTATGAATAGCGTCAGAAACGCATATAGCTAGTTAAATCTTTATTCATTAGTCATGTTCTAATATTAACATGTAGTCCTAATATTGTTCTTATGGATTAGGACTGAGAATTTCATAGTCTGCTTCCTTGGGAGGAGGCAGCATCAGCAGCTGCGGAGTGTGGGAACAGGGACTGCTGATACAAGTGAGTCCAGACTGGCTGAAGCCAAAGTTAAGAGATTTGCTTTGGGGGCTCTCAAGCAAAGTTCCTTACTCAGTCCCATTTGTAACAATTTCTATTTTTGCTGACTCTTAATCTTCACCAGATAGGTGATTTGGAAGTTTCTCTCCCTTTAAACTTCCTTTAAATTCCCATGAGAGTTTTAGAAAGTCTCATCTGTGATTGAAAGGTTTATTTTCCTTGCCACTCAGTAAAGTTGCAAATATTTTAAGTAGAAATATTGCCACAAATGGGTCTTTTTTAAATAAAAGAGAATTGGGGGTATGTGTTTCAGACCTTAAGTATGGCCTGGGAGTGATTCCTGTGCTAAGGAACAGCTTGACTAAAGTGAGAGGGGGCATTAAAGTATTTAACAGGTGTTAATTGATTTAAAAACTGGGACTGCCCCTAGCAAACCAGCACAGTGAATGTTGACTGCTGGACTACTCCCCTCATTATCACATCTTGGAAGATGCTACACTCTTAATATGCTAGTTACACTCCAGCCTGCCCAGATCTCTCCCCACCACTGTTGTCTTCTAGGTTTCTGTTTTCTCCTTACCCATGAATAATGCTGGGCCCAAGTGGTTTAGGTAAAGCAGTGACCCATACGGTGGACACCCACTGGCTCCTTTGGCTTCCTCAGGTTAAAATGGGTATAAAGGAATTTAGAGAGTAGTTAACTTATTTTTCAAAATGGCAAATGAAATAGGGGCAACAGTCGTCTAAGCTAGCTTTAATAAACTTGAAAACCCAGCAATCATGCACTATAGATTATAGTGTAGTCTGCTCGAACTAAGACTGTTTTAAGATTTTGTTGTTTTCAGAAAAAATACCTGGTCAGTGGAATCTTTCAAAAATGGTAAAGAAGCAATCACAGAATGAAGAAATACACATCTTTGTTTCTACTGATTTATCACTTAAATTTGGAGGTATGCATAAAGAGAATGTTCTCATGCAGCAATACATACAATATGTAAAAATGAAAGACATTTAATAGCCTAAGGCAACCACAAGCTTCCACATTGGTTGGATATAATTGGCCAAAAAAGTTTTCTTCTTAATTTTAGAGTATGCTGGAAGAGACTGATGAACTATTTTGGGTATGTATAAACATATGGGGTTGATTAGGTACTAGTTACCCTGTAAAGTATACCCATTAACTTTTCTCAGAAGGTATAAGTTGGGTAATGTTTTATATATATATATATATACACATATATATATATATATATATATATATATATAAAACAAAAATCTGCTGTGAAAATGTTTGCTTTTATAAACCTCAGGTTAAGTTATGTCTCCTGAAAGGGAACTACATATAAAACACATATTGAGACACTAGCTTTAAGAGTTGTTAATCCTGGTGTCAAACAGCAGCATGAAGGAATTCCTTTGATCTTTCTTTTGTAACCAAGTACCCTTTACTACTATCACATAGATGCACATTCCTTTAGTCATTTAATATTTATTGAATGTCTGCTGTGTGCAAGGCACTCATCCATGGCCTGACCTACCACATTCAGGTACAAAGAATCATTAGAGCCATTCCAAATCAAAGTGTAAGAACACTTTGAAAAGGACAGAGTGGTCAAAATGATGAGGTAAGCAGAATATATTCAACCACATACATTAAACGGTCTTTTTAAAGCTTTGGACACTCCTTGGGAGGGTATTCCTTTAGGAAGTCAGCTTCATTAAATTCACATCCATGGATGGCCCTGCTCTCTACAGCACTATTTCTTCATTCCAAAGCCTTTCTGTGTCAGTACTTTCTACTTTTGAGTTCGTTGAATGGAAACATGTTTCTGAGCTTAGCTGTTATGCTGCTAAACTCAAAACCAATCATTTGTATAGTATTTTTAACTTTTTTTGGTCAGGCCATGTAGAATTTTAGCACCACAGAAGGGGAAAGATGTTTGGATTGAGAGTGTCTCCACTCCAGAATATGTAACCTAAAAGCAATTTATACCTGATTTAGTCATTCCAAGTGTGATGATAAGGAAGAATCAGAACGAATGGCCCAGTGAAAAAGCTGGCTCACCTGTGGCTGCTGTAAGGCTAGTTCTGGGAATTCCTGGCACAGAACACCTCCACCATGACTACCACTTCTTCAAGACACACAACCTGCAGGGCTTTTCCCCACTTTTGGACAGTGTCTAAGGGTTGTGGCAGAGTAAATTCTCCTAAGTCTTGATTTTATCACCTACAACATAGTGACAATTGTCCACCTCAAGAGTAGTTGAAGGATTAAATAAGAAAAAGTGAGTGCCCTTTAGCCAGGCACCTGGAACACAACAGTGATTTAAATGAAAACTAGTTGCCTTTATCTGACCTGTAGGAACACAGACTGGGACTCTTGTCTATCCTTAGCTGAAAACAGAATGGAACTGTATCTCCCCTTAATCCTCTCTTCCAACCCCAAACATCCAGATGAATTTAATGTCAAGTATCAATTGAATGTTGTAAAAATCAGCACATGATGGTATTTGTTTTACTTTACCACACATTCTTCTGATGCTCTGGTACCCATTGTTACTACTTGTCCTTTCCTGACAACACAGCATGTTACAGAATATTCTCCAAGTTAGAGCACATGCCCTATCTGGCCTTCAATTACTTTTAACTTTTAACAATACCTAAGTATAATTTTAACTTTTGATGACAGAATAAGGTAGCCAAGAATATTTCCTGACTGGGTAGTAGCCACTCTGCTCCTCACAAGAGAAAAAGGCTTTGTTAACTTCAGAAGACAAAAAAATTCAGACTTCAGGACGTCCATATGTAGGTACACCTATCTCTGCAAATGAGCAAATTTTGGAATGGAGGAGGTAGAATATAGCATATAAATATGAAAAATAAATACCTCTTTCTTAAAGGGGAATGCCTTTTCTCTACTGAAAATCATCCTTAGACATCACAGTTTCCTGTTATAAAAAGCCCTAAGCCTAAAACAGCTATAAAGACTTACCTATTGATACAAAAATGTTCACAAAACTGACAGCAAGAAAGAAAAGAAATCCTTCAACCTGAGGAAACTCTTTCATAATGCAGCCCCAAACTGGGGGATTAAATAACTGAAGTATTTATTTAGCACTAGAGAAGTAAACTTAAAAGTTGTACGTGGGTAGCCATATACAACAGAGGATTTAGTTGACAAAGTTTGGATTATAAAATATACTACATATTTTTTCTTAGGCAAAATCAGGAACAACCTGGAATAATTCAGATTTACTATGGGATAACTATCAAAGTTTGTATCTGTGACAGTAATGATGAAAAACAACCCAGAGCCCATTCAACTTTATCTGGCAGATGGAAGAAAAACAATCCTAGGGCAATGGTTTTCAAAAACAGTACAGCTGACAAAGTTAAGTTTAAAAGGGTCCTAAATACTTGGTGACAACATGAATTAAGGTGTTCTCCTAAATCTCACTGTGCTTCATGTCTATCATCTTTACCTTTTTTAATTTTTTTATTTTTTTTATTTTGGCAGGGGTGAGGGAGGTAATTAGTTTTAACTTGTTTTTAGAGGAGGTACTGGGGATTGAACCCAGGACTTCATGCATGCTAAGCATGCACTCTAGCTTTACCTTTCTTGCCATTTCTCAGCCTAACCATATCTACCTGCTGGTCCTTCAGATATAGAGTGCCTTTACATCCCAAATGTTCTCAGTGTTTTTCTACAAACGTTCTCATTTCAAAGAATATACTTAGAAAGTTTGGGGGAGGAAAAAAAAAAAGCAGGAAGGAAAATCCAGCCACTTTCCTTGACCAGTATAAAAAACTGCAGAAGAGTTTTCCTGTGTTGAAATTAGCATGCTTTTAACATCTTAGTCATGGGATAATTCAATAAATTGAAAGTAAATTAATACAATCTGCCAAGTAGAGAACTAAAAATAGGACTGTTTAACAGCTACCTCCTAAAATGTCATTTTAGTACCAAAAAGACTGCTTTATCAGTTCCAGCAGTTATGCTGGGATTTAACTTTTAATCAATTCCAGCTTTTACTTTTTTTGTTTTTTTATCTTTCTTAATTCCAATTTTTATATAAAAAAATGCACTGCAAAAAAAATTTAGCTTGTATCTCATGGCTCATGAACTCCTAGGATAGAAGACAAATTCCTGTTTTAGACAGAAAATAAACCATGTTAGTTAAAATGGACTTTGTTTTAGTTCATTTACTGAGACAGCTGGAACTGCAAGAAAAATTCCCAGTGTATGCTCTTTTTGCTAACTTGGGGAAACATTTTTTATATTTTTTCCCATTCAAACTGGTTTATCCAAATGAGCTGAAATTTTTTTAAATTATCTTAGAGAGGCTACCATGATTTAAAACATCCTAGAGAAATGATGTTAGCAGTAATTTACAGTTTAAAAAAACTCAGCCACAAAAAAGTCAAAGCTAAAAACAAGATTTTTACTATGAATCAGTGCTTCTATTACCCTTCTGAAAGAAGTTATATTTTAATGTGATGTAAAGGCAACATTGAGAGTTTTTCTTTAAATTAACCACCTAATTTGTCCCTAAAATTACAAAGAATCAAAGTCTTTTACAGGTCGAGTGCAGTAAACTAAAATGTTCTTTCAGCACAAAGCAGCACTAGAAAAAGTAACAGTTAAAGAGATGGGAGTTGACTAGTTTTGCAGTGGCTGCTCCATCGATAACAGACATCAGACGGTATCCATCCAGAGCACAGACACAACTACAGACTAGATGCGAAGAATGCCTCACACGCTTGGCTGATAAATGTCCTTTGTCTTTGTATCTTTGCACTTTGAATGAAGTGGATTTTTAAAAGTTTAAATCATGTCACATAAGTTGGCTGCTTAAATTACAACATGATGAGGTATGAAAGCTCTGAGTATCCCTAACGTTCAGCAGGATTTACCAGAGAAGTATAACAGCTTGTCAGGGGAACTTCCAAATAGTTACTTTGGGGTTATAATGAATTCTAGAAGAGGACAAGATTAAAAAGGTTTAAAAGGATATTCTCTGAAAAAGAAGTGAGCAACTTTTCCTTCAGAATTCATTTTGAACAGCTCATCAACAAAAAATCTTCTCAGATGGTGTGTCCCAACATTGAGTCGAGCTGGCCAACTAGCACCAAGGAGTCGTATTGAACTCAGTTGCAGTTCTCTTGGCAATTAAGCTTATTTTTTCGTTCCAGTCCGAGCACAGATGTGGATCACTGAAGACAGCACTGGAAGCGCCATTTGCAGGTAGAGATTGAAGTCATCATTAAAAGAGCCAGAAGGTAGAAATTGTCTTTATTTTATGGGAGGGACTAGACTGGGCAGTACTAGTCAGAGATGAAATAAATCATAAGGGAACATGAGGTTGTAAGAAAAAAAAAAATCACTGCCCTTATTTGGGTTAAACAGGTCACATCAAGAAGATGGTTACTTAAGAAAAGGATGCTACTTACATGCAGCATAAATTCATTAAAATCAAGCTGCACCCAACTACGAAAAAAAGATTCCCTAAGAAACCTTTAAAAGTATGTGTTATCTGCCAGTCACAGAGGGGAAAAGCACCTAGGGTGAACTCCAATTTAATAAGGACCTTGATCAGGACCACAAAGCCTGAAACATTTGTTTTAATGCAGAAACAGCCTCTAATCACACTGGTTAAGTCTGGGGAAATTAGAGGGTTTTTTGTTTTTTACTTTTTTATTGAATTACAAGATACGATTTTGATTACTAAGGATTCTAAATCTTCATACCAGCATTAGAACAGAACCACTTCCAAATCCTAAGACACATAAGACCAAAGAGAAGCAGTAGCCATACAAATTAATATGTGCCCCTCTCCTTTCTGCTCTAAGGGAATCTTCAAACCAGTATCACATTAAGAGTCAAAGAGTTAATTCTTCAGCATTCCTGACAACTAGAAAGCACATTCACTGAAGGCTGAAGGTGAGGGAGCAGATGGTTTAACTTTAATATCTGTGGAGAATGGTGCCAATAAAGGAAAGAAAAACCATCCAATCTCAGTAAGGAGTAATGCAAATTTGGCTAGAAAAAGCCACCGGGTAATCCAAGGGTTCACTGTGGAAGAACTCATGAAAAGTACTCTGAAGTACGCAACAGGTCTAAACATCTCTCCTGTTGCAAGTAGTTGTGTGAAATTCAAGATAAAGGTTTAGTCTCATCTTTTAATGTCAGTATTTTTCCCCACGTTAAAGGGAATGAGGAGGGGTCTGTCTTCCTCCACAAAAAAAGGGAGCCACATTAATATGTGTATATTCCCATGATTCTTTATAATATATAAGTGCGGATCTCCAAAGCCTAGGGGTTTTCCATAAGAGTGGGCCGTTCTGGTTACCCTTTTATTAGAAGGGTATTCCACCACAGAGAGCCAGAGGTTTTCCAGATGTGTGTAAGAGAGCAGGTGCGCAAGGCAAGCAAATGAGCGCAAACAGTATTATGGAAAACATTTGAGAAGTTAGCTCCATGAGGACTGTGGGCTCCACAAGAGGACTTGACTGGGTAGCCTGGTCTGACACGGGAACATGAAAGCAGAGTATTGCTTCAAAGCTGGAAACCTTCCATAGGAGCCTCACACTGCTGGAAGATGTACTGCTGCTGGGTAAGGTCAACCTGGGGTGCAATGCTGCTGTCCTCATCCTCGGTCCCAAAATAATGCTCAATAAGGTCAAAGGCCTTCTGGTAGATCTCCTGGTTTTCATGACTCTGTAAGAACTCAATTTTATCCAGACCTAGAATGAAGAACAAAAGAAAATTTGTTGTGTATTTGTTGGAAATTCCAATAAAACTATTTTGCCATATGTCTCTTTCCATGACGTAAATGAAGATTCTCTTCTATACTTATATCTCATAAGCATTTTGCAACAGCATAGAAAGTATTGTGGGATTACATCTGAATATTAGTATTGCAAACTGACATCTTAAATACGAATGTAAGCAATGGCCAGTACCCCCAAGCAGCAATCTCTGTTAACAGTCACCACATCATCCAGTACCTAAGGCCAGAAGCAGAAGTGCTCCTACTGGACTGTATCTATGACCTAATTATTTCTTGGCTCTGGTTCTATCTACCTAGGCTCTGAGCTATCCAATATCATTTCAACAAATGTGTAATATCCTTAAGTCAGCTAGAATCAATCTCTAGTGCTTAAACTAAGAAGTCCAACTAGAATAATTAGCCAGCACATTCCCTTTACTAAGTTTAAGCCCTGTGTGAGCTAGGCTTTCTTTTACCTACAGCCATAAGCAACCTAACTGCTACAGCAGTACCGACAATAAATCTCAACACTGCTCAAAAGAAAAAAATACATATTCATGTACATATCCATATATAAATACACACATGCACATCAAAAATTAGTTCTCTCCTTGGAGAAAGATCATCTGAGAAGAGAAACATTTGTCTTTTTTATACATTTCAAAATTTCTTATACTAAGCAGGTATGTGTAGTTTTTACAATCAGGTTTTTTTAAAATGGTGAAATGTTAGTCATTTCGGAAAACAAGTCTGCATTATCTGATAAATTTGAAGATGAATGTACCCTATGATCCCTAATTCCAATCTAAGGAATAAATAAACCCTAGAGCAGTGGCTTTCAACCCTGGCAATGCATTAAAATCACTTAAAAGGTTAGCATACTGATAAATCAATGATTAAGAGTACAGTTAAGACTGAGACTGGAAGAATGAGGAAACCAAAAGGCAGATGATGACTACTGTTTCTACTGACAACTCTTAGAAACCTTTAGAGTCAGGAATACAGGAATTGGCGGGGAAGGGGGGAGTGCAATTCAAAATCAGAACTCTTACAAAAGAAAAGGAGTGGAGTTGGGCATTGTCTACAGTAGCTATGGATGCTCTTGCAGCTCAGACTAGTAAGAATACAAGAGTATGTACAAGGGCAAGCAGTCAGGGAACTAAGATCCAGTGTAAAAGGGCTAAAGCGAAGGGTACTTCTCTTCACATCTACAATGCATATTCTTTTCCAGTTCTGCATACTGAACATGATTATTCGAAAGAAAAAAAAATTTTTGTGTAAGTCTGCTAAAGGACAGATGTGGGCAGGCCAGAAAACCAAGGAGAAAAAGTAAAAAATAGTTTAAAGACATCTATTAAACACTCCATCTTACCATAAGCTTCTTCAATCAAAGCGCAGTAAGGATTAATGCCTGTGCCGTTCCTTTTGGCTTCTTGTTCTCCAAGTCTCAGGATATTTTCCAAGCCATTTAGGGCAACTTGTACAATCTTAGAGTCCATGACTGTGAGGAGATCACAGAGTGGCTTGATACAGCCCAGTTCTACGAGGTACCTAAATTAATACGAAGAACAATTCAGTCAAACAAAGCTTTTAATTTCATAAAACTTTTATGAAATTGGTAGGAGGATCATCCTCAAATTCACTGTAGAGATAAAAGTGGGCACTCATTCAACCATACAGCTGACACAAAAAAAGCTACAAATAAATTAAAGAAAAAAACAGTTCTGACACCATCTCCATTCTTTTTTCCCTCTACAATTATTAGACTCCAAGAAAATGGAATATTCTCTTACTTTGAGTGAGTCATCAAAATAGTACACTTTTGATTAATTTCATTTTTGTTTCTATAGGTAACCACACCTCTGAAACAGGACCCACTTGGTGCTAAAGCCAGCACAGGCCCAATAGGCCAGTTCTATTTTATACAAAGAACTCTTAAAACTCAAAAGATTAGAAAACAACTCAATCTAAAAATGGGCAACAGATCTCAACATTCATCTCAACAAAGATATACTGATGGCAAATAAGCATATGAAAAGATGCTCAAAATCTTATGTGTCATTTGGGGGACTGCAAATCAAAACAATGATGCCTCTACATACCTAGTAAAATGGCTAAAATCCAAAACACTGACTATACCAAATGCTGACAAGGATGCAGAGAAACAAGCAACTCTTTTTTTTTTGCTGGTGAAAATGCAAAATAGGATAACCACTTTGAAAGACAGCTTGGTGGCTATTTTTCCCCCCAAACCAAAGGTTTCCATATGATCCAGAAATCACACTCTTAATACATTTACCCACTTGAGATGAAAATTTATGTCCACACAAAACTTAATACATGAATATTTACAGCAGCTTTATTCATAACTACCAAAAACTAGGAGCAACCAGATGTTCTTCAATAGCTGAATGAATAAATTAGCTGTAGTAATCCAGACAATGGAATATTATTCAGTGATAAAAAGAAATGAAATGAGCTATCATGCCATGAAAAGATGTGAAGGAGCCTTATATGCACATTGCTAAGTTAAACAAGCCAATCTGAAAAGACTCCGTACTAATATAATTACAAATATATGGCATTCTAGAAAAGAAAATCTTTATAAAGGCAATAACAACAGTGGCTGCCAGAGATTTGAGGGAAGTGGGTAAGGGGATAGTAATGAATAGGTAAAGCAGAGGGTAATTTTAGGGCTGTGGGTAATACAACAATAGTGGAAACATTCATCAAAACCTGTAAATTATACAACAGAGTGATCCTTAATATAAACTATGAACTTAATAATATACCAGTATTGGTTGATTAATTATAACAAATTAACCACACTAATGTAAGATTTTAACAGAAGAAACTTACAGGGGAAGGAAGGACACAGGAACTCTATATCAATTTTTCTGTAAATCTAAAAATGTTCTTTTAAGTTTTAACTTTTTACAAGTAATTTTATGTCATATTAGTTTTATTATTTACTCAAATGAATTTAATAGGATTGTGCCTAATTTTATTTAAATATTTACTGACAATATATGTCCTAAAATGTATATGTATAACTGACTCACTTTGCTGTACACCTGAAACTAAATCAACTACTCTTCAATAAAAAAATTAAAAAGATGATAGGTCCTAGGAACAGAATAGGTCAGTCATCAGGCATAAAGCCATTTCTGACTATCTCCTCTTCCTTTATACCAGTTTTTAGTCCCTAAAACCTGTTAACAATTCCTTCAACATATCTATATAATTCTTTCTTTTCCTTAAAACAAAACTACACTAAACTAAGCCTCTTTAGATTATACGTGTTAGTTGTTGCAAATTTGGGAAACACAGAAGAGCATAAAGAAAACTAAAAAGTACCCAGAGATAACCACCACTATTACATCCCAGTTGTGCTACTCTGATCTCTTTGCCTCAGTTTCCTCAACTGGAAAAGTCTGGGAACCACATGATTAAGTCTGTCACCAAACCCCACAAAATTTTAGAGCAGTTAACTAAATGACTTACATGTCTGCAATTAATTACTGATCTATACAGGCAAGTCTATTGAACACCAATTGGTGTATCAGAGACTTGTTCAGAATCTCCAGTTGTCCTCAAATTTGATTCTAGACTATTCTTAATGTGATCTCCTCTCCTCGCTAGAACTCTTGGCTTAGTTCTAATCCTTATATTGCCTTTAAAAAATTCATTTACTTTTTTAACAATGTCTGGTTGTGAAATCTTTTATATGGAAAACCAGTATATGGAAAACTTGATTGAGAATTAAAAACAAATTTTAAGGTACTCAGAAAGCTTCTAGAATTTGTATGTAATTAATTAAATGAATAAATATGAATTGACTATGATTGCTGATTAAAACTTTCTTATAAAAAAGCTCTACCCTTTAAATCCAGAGTTTTGAAGATGTTAGTAGATTTTATTTGCAAAATACGGTATTAGTATTTTGTATTCAGGTACATTTCACTAAATGAGTTCCGGGTTCCCAATTCTAGCCATTTAAAGTATTTTAACATAGATTACTAGAAGTGTACAAACA